TCTACGGTTGCCATATCGATTAAGACATTTCTAAACTTTTACCAATGTCACATTGTTCCAAAAGGTTGCACAGAAATGAATAACACAGTCACTGTGAAAAAAATATATAAAAAATTGAAAATCATTCAAAAGCTTCAAAAAACTCGATGAAAATTATAATATGTTCTTGTTGAATCCTTTAGCACGTTTTACAACAAAACATTGACTTAGACTGCTCCTACCTGACTACCGGGTCCTTCACCTCAACCATGCGTAAGATGGTATCCCATTCAGATGACGGTTCATTATATCTCACATCATGAGGAGGAACGTTGAATCTAAATTAACACACGTTCTTGAAATTAGGAACTTTCCCGTGCATCTGTTAACTTACTTGGCAAATATTGCATTAGGCAATGCCCCGCTTATTCGGTTGTTCTTCATCAGGCGTTCAAAGATTTGATGGTCTCGCTTCGAGTTGAACACAAATGATGTCAACAAACGTCGAGTGGCTTCCTCAATAGCAAACGCCCACCTCCGGTCACGGACCTTGATGTGCATTCCTGGAAAATGAGTTTTAAAACGATGATGAACAGTTTCACAGTAAGGAACGAAACGTTAACGTTTCAGCTATTTTTATCCCTCTGCATATTATTTATTTGAGGATGGATACCTACCAACTTTGGAGAGTGAGAGGAAAATATATATCTACAGGGGTGGCCAAAAAAAGACACTTCACTCCACATTTCAGACAGCATTAATCACACTTTGCTAAACTCAAACCGACTGCTCCCAACTTAGTATTAAAGAGCACATCCCAATCTATCAATAAACGTTATAATAGCTTTCTGCACCAAGGACATCACAAGAATTTGCCATGGGAACCTTGTGCACGGTTCGAGCTCAACTGGTCCTCGGCGGATCATGGACCATTACGACGTTATCTGAAACGCTGGTCGGAAGGGGTCTTGCATATTTAGAGCTACTGTCCCTAGGAAGCAATCGTCAGTTAACCGATTGAAGAAATTCGTAGCAGCTTCAGGCTGGAACGATTACTTTAGGCCTTCTTGAGCTCAACGGTGATGGAAGATGACGTCATATTTTGAGGACGGTGAGGGCAGTGGAGGAGGGCCTGCTTCTACTTATGGGAGGACATCTAAGGGATATTTTGCCGTAAAACTTTCATCAACAGCGGCACCTGTGCGATGAAAAGTTTGATGATGTGCGCCATGGGCAAAGTGTCTTTTTTGGGGTATAGATTAGACTGCCTGTCGCAACAAAGAAGAAAGCGAATAACTCTTTCTAAAGATAACACTTCCCACAACCTATATTCAGAAATGACAATAATTTCCTAAACTACCAGAACAAAGGTTATCCTCAAGCCAACGAGACGGAAACGTGAAAAACCGAGTCTCCAACAGTTTTAACTCGCCGAAACAGATAACTGTATCCGCTCACAGAGCTGGGAAGCAAAAACTTCGACTAACCAGGCCCTTTTGCAGTGTTCGATACCTTCTCGCATTGCGTCATACCCCAAGATTCTCGCACATCTCATTCTCACGCGAATCTGAAACCAAAGATTCAAATGCAAAATTTGATAAAAACAAATAACAGGTAGAGACAGGAGCAGGCAATATTGCAGAAGAATTCAAATGTGTCAACTGTTCCATTGAAGCAATTACGCCTCTAGAGGGGCTACGCGTAGAACTCAGAAACAATATACTCGATATCGGTAGCGTGTCACCGAAGTGAACAAGCAACTTGATCAGAAACTACATATGTGGAAGCCGCTTACCAACATACAGCACTGGAACAGCAAAGCATCTGGAGAGCAGCTTATTCCCGCAACTCTACTGTCCACATCATTCCGATGACACGCTACCCCAACATCGGAATATCAACTGCTGTCGAATATTATAGTTAACGTTAATATCGTTGATGTTTCAGATCATTTATTGGCTGATGCTCCTCACAACTTCACCATGCGAGACTCAAAGAATTATGGGCAAAACTCACTCAGCTTGAACTCGGTCCCAAACTATGGCTCCTATATACAACATGCCATCCGTTGTTATTCTTTATAAGTACCAGCGCTCACTAGCAACATTCAACGACAAGATACCACTACCTCATCAATGCATTGTTGGCTGTCATCTCACTCCGATGGATTTCTTGCTCTAACTCCCTTATCTTCCCAGGGATCCGACGAGCTTCTCGAACGATCTTAAAGATTATTTTTCATGTAAATCACGTGAAGCTAACAAAAAAAAATTGGTAGCAGCTAATCACAGAACTCCCGACATGGTTACCTCGTCTACGCTTGTAGAAGCTTGCTCATGTGATTTCTGAAGTTCATCGCGCTCCTGCTGTGCTAAGCGGTAGTGTTCTAAGACCTCGGACTCCTGTAAAAACTCAGACAGATTAGAGCACTTCATCAACTGAAAAAGGACAGATAGGAGCAGTTCGTAAACTAAAATGAAATGAGGAAATATTCAGAAATAAACATTTTCTTCCTATGACAATAGTTCTCCAGCTTTTGCAGTCAGCATATAGAAAAACAAATAAAATAAATTACGTAAATATGAAGTAATTATACTCGAGTTGATGACCGATAAGTATAATAAAAGCGACACTAATAAAAGGACGCTGCTTATCGCAACACAAGATACCGCAATTCTTTTCTCTGATCGGGTGAAATAAAGTGAGGAAAAAAGAAGATTCTTATTAATCTTTTATAAATTCTTTGTCATGGGAGCCACAAAACGTGCTTTTTTAGCCAGGTATTAAAGAATGAAATGAAATATAACCAACTTTCTCATTGATCTTTTCCATCTTCTTTTTCGTGAGAGCCACCTCTTCTTTTCGTTTCTCACACTGTGACTCCTCTTCGTAGCTTGCAATTTGCTCGACCAATCGGTCGCGTCGTTTCTCCAGTGATCTAAATGGTGAAAACGAAGTGTTGTGTCTATAAACAAAATGTTGAAAAAGCTAGTTGAAGATTGAGAAAAAACAACAAATTAACGAAAGGTTAAGAAACCAGAGAAAATAACGAATTTGTAGATTTTAATCAAAGACCGGATACAAAAAAATAAACACTCACACGCGACTAGCTTCTAGCGCACGTTGCTTCGAATCTTGACCACCTAAGTCGCTCTTGAGATTACTAAACAGAGTTCAGAAATTTAGCACATTAGCGGCTGCACATTGCAAGTATTACAAACCTTATCGTTGCCTTCAATGAACTCATCTTTTCTCTCGAACTCCGCAGGCTGCTGCTCTTCTTTTCTAGTCGATTCCGTAGCACGGATGCCTGGGTGGCGCAGTCCTAAAACATCAAGCTGGCATTTCATTTCTTCGATTAATGATGCACTTGGGATTCCAAAATTTGAACAAATAAAAGAAACAGAATAAAAAGCAAACAAGTGAAAATATTATGCGTCATCTGAATGGATAGAGGTGAAACGTCAGTATTTTTTCACTGCATCGAAAAACAAAATAAAGAAATGCCAAGAAAAAATCAACACTGTAGCCAACCTCTTTCTTGGACTTGCCCTCCTCGATTCCCTCCTGGAGTATTCTCAGCTCCTTTTGAAACTTCTCTCGCTTCTTCTCAATAACTTGGATCTCCTGGAAAATTATAACACATATATGGCAACAGGGACAAATTTATTTCGTGGAGATTGGCCTACCTCAAGAACATCCCTCAATGGGCACCACAATAACATCCATCCAATTTCACTCTGCTTATTTCGCATCTCCTGTATGGTACGCAGTCTTCGACGCTCTTCCACCATTGACTGATATTCTCTTAACATAAACCCATTTAAATCCGTTCGACATAATGAATCTGCTCAATTTTTTTGTGAAAGAAAACAATGTCACCGGAAATTCTACCTCTTCTGTTTCTCGAAATCAGATTTCATCGATTTACACATAGCTCCTATAGAAGTAACAATTTGTTCGCACTTTTCATAAACATTCCTTTAGTGTGTGCAAAGTTCAGGGATGCGATGAAGATCTTGATTTTAAAAAAAAATCAATAGATTAAAAAGCAGTAAGCAACTTTTGTGATCTACACAGAAGCGGAACGATTGTGATTCTGACTCTATCACACATCCGTTGCGAAACCAGAAATCTATTAATTACTTTAGTTTATGTTTTCTTTTAGTTAGGACGTTTACTTTAAACATGCTTTCAAAATCAGACGAATTCTTCTGAACACAAAACTACCTTGTATAATCGATCAGGTTTCATTTGCTGCAAAAAATGCCGAGACCTATCTTGACTCATCCAGAATATAGGATTGCTAAGCTGGATACCATACCGAATCCTCAGCTGATCCAAATCAGTTTTCTTTTTTGAAACACAACCTCTCTGAAACAGCTTCCTGCCATTAACTTTCTCTACAATAAGCAGTAAACAAACTGCGCTCACCATATGTGTTTCTATCCGAAGCAGTATACTTTTGAGGATTGTTAAGTCGAGGAAGAGGATGCTTATCCTGCCCCTGATAACTACCCTCCTTAGGGATTGTTCGCTTCAACTAACTACGGAAGTCTCACGTAATTCTGCGGAGGTGGCTTCCCAATCCTCTATTTGTCAAAATTAATCGAATTTTGGCCTTGCTGAAATGAAAACAAAATCCTGACATAAAAGTAAAGTGTAAGGATAAAAATGTGTAGGAATATCTTTAATGGGCTATGAAAAGGCTTTCTTTATGAAAACCTTAAAATTAATTCTTCTCTCACGGTCAACTTGCGACCCAAAAGACAAGCAGCAACAGATGAGCTGATAGTAATTTGAAAAGATCAGTACACTTAAAACTACTTCTGTCTAGATCCGTGCTAATAGAGTGCTAACAAATCACTGCAAATCAGCCAAAAAAGGTATCTGTTTCGGCCATGAAATAGCTTCAAAAAGATCAAGCATGGAATTTATGTGTGGGATATACATGCTAGTATATAGAATTTCTTCAGTAACGACAGTCTCGAAAAGTCTCCACCAAGTTTACTGTAGTTACAGCTTTCTTAATTCAAAATGAACTAACAATAAGAAGAGGAAATATTTGCAGAAAAAAAAATGAAATTACAAAAAAAGTACATCGCACTGAAGAAAAACAAGCACACTTAAATCATTGCCTTACTTTTTACCTTCTTTAATGTAGGTTTTCACGGATGGTCCACGGTCATTATCGTTTCCTCGACCACCGAGGCCTATATTCAAGGAAGCAAAAAGGGCGCTCTTACCACCTTAATCACATATGCTCTATAGGCATTGAAAGACATCATATAACTCAAAAAGTAACAAAACTCACTTCCGTTTGGGCCTCCGATGTAGAAGCAATTGTTATTAGCGGTATCAAAATCGACTTTTAGTCGACCATGGCACATAAAATTTTCTAGTTCTACGCCAGCGACTCGGCCAGCAACTTCCAAGAAACCTGGAAAAATGTATCCTACAAAGTAAACTATGAAAAGTCATGTAAAAAGAACAGAAAAGTAAGAGACAAAAGAAGAACATTTGTGGTTTAAGACGAAATAATCACAACTACTTACCCCTACTTAATCCTTGGGTAACTTCAGGTGAAGCGGCTGCAGACCTCATTACTTTCCTACTAATTTGCGAGTCAACATTGTGATGTGTGGTCGCTTTCTTCGTGGACTATGGAAATGTTGATTCTCTACATCCGCATCCACTTCCATCTCCTCTTCAACCTCAGCCATCTAGCTGGCCGTTTCACTACCAAAAAAACTGGAAACAATTAGTGAAATACGATTTCTACAAAAACGGTCTACGCGAAACGCTGAAAGTAGACAGCACTTAATTCATTATACTGAGGAAACAACTAAGCGAAGCCATGAATAGGGGCACTATACAAAGCAGTCAAAAGCATTTCCCGAAACGATTTTCTGTGCTTTTTTTTCCACCGCTGACTAATTAGATTCGAAAGTTGATACGACTTTTATTTGCTCCTAGTCTTTCGACTTTTTCGTAAAACCCCAGATCTCCTTCCCCTCCCCGCTTAAAAAATCCTCATCCTCTTTGCTTCTCTTTGCTGCACTGCGTCAAATTGCTCCTTCCTTCTCTTGACAGCGCCCACGTTAAACAAGCTTTCCATCACTCCGGTGATGGAAAGGCTCATAAGGAGCATCATTCTACATCCATGCGTTCGAAAATTACGATTCCCAAGAAAAAACAAATAATGTTAATGGGTTGACGCAGTTTCCTACCGCTACAAACCAATACAGAAAGTACAGCAAGCGAGTTTTTGCCGCTCTGAACGTTCCTTACTTCAGGCAGACATTCAGTTCAAGCAAGTTCAAGGATAGTGATACTAAGGCTTTTCAAGGAATCCATGCAACGTAAACACTTCGGTAAGCCGAGGTTTACAGTCAATCCACACTATTTCTGAATGGGGGTGTTTGAAAACTAGTGAAGGTTGCACGAGAGAAGGCGTATACATTTATCTAAACTATAGTGCTGATTTTTTCTGGACTTAGAGAACCGCACCAAAGAAGGAGTCGGTAAAAAAACACGCAAAAAATAGAGCACTCACACGCACCAAATGAGATGGAAGAAGTGAAAACTACTGAAAGTTCAATTCCAACTAAGCTTATACAAAAGAAAGGAGCGAGAAATGAAGAAAGCTTAGAACTTTTAGATTCGAAATCAGGCCCTCTTTTGAAACGAATAAACCACGTTGGTCGTTAAATAAGTTGTGCGGTCTGCACATTGCACGTCATACGCGCAGTGGGTACAGTAACGGTGATTGGATTGGATCGTACCGGTCGCTGTCTGGTATTGGCGTCGTTTGGGATTGAATTCGGACAACCTTCGAAGTTTGTTATGCTGAAGGGGCGAATCGACGAGCCACGATTTGAGGTCAGGTCCATGCAAAGGGGGGGGGGGGAGTAGCACACTAGTTCATGCCCCCCAGTTATTACATTTTTGCGTCGAAAAGGAGCTCCTTGGAAAGTGGTCGCTCTTTTTTTCGCTATCGTATTGATATGAAGCTTCCTTTTGCGGAAGTGAGGATTGCTGTTGGCAGCGTCCACTGTTTCACCAAATGCCCCCTCCATCTCCCACTAGGGTTACATTCCTACTCCAATGACTTCTTTACACTGTTAGAAATTGGTTTTCCCAACTGCTCTCATTTGGAACCAACTGTCGATCGATAGCCAAAACCTGCTACAGTGGGTGACTGACAGGAAAGGTTTCCTCTACTTGGGCTTTCCGGTTCCGGAAATTTTTTCATTCCCTAGCGTCCCTCGATCACCAACCTGGTACGTCCTCGAACTTCTGCATCCTGCGCTTCCACCGCTTCAAAGTCTCGGCATCATCCTAGGCTTTCATTTCTTACTAGTGGTTTAGCAGAGTGGGCCAGATGCTTAGGAAATTTTATACTGTGCTACCCCAACCTCTCTCACCTTTCTGGTGTCAATACAGTCGCTTTATTCGGCCCGACTTAACATATACTCCCTTCCAAGAAACGGAAGTTTAGGATGCAGACCAGGCACCACAAGTGACGACGGCCTCCACAGAATGTAAATGTTTTCTGCCGATGATTCTATCAGTTATCACATCATTTACCAAAAATCAGCTATCACTATGAATCAGATCAGATTTACTTGAAGACCGTCGTCACTTGTGGTGTATGATCTGCACCCGACGCTCTTTTCATTTTCTGAATGAGAGGGTATCTCCGAATTTATTCAAATTTTCAAAGGTGATAGAGCAGGGTTGAGTGGGAGGAAGGCCAATCGGGTCTCATCCAGTAAGGTGGGGGGGGGGCATTGTGATGCAAATCGTCAAGCTGCCCTCACCCCCACCCCCTAGACTGCCTTCACTCCCCCTGGCTCACGGGGTCCCGTACTTCAAGAAACCTGTGCGCCAGGGGGAGTGTAGGCAGTCTAGGGGGTGGGGGGGGTGAGGGCAGCCACTTGATGCCCCCCCCCCCCAACTTACGGGATGGAAACCCTCCAATCTTTCCAATTATTGTAGCCACAGAGTTCGGAGACGTAAGTCTCGAACTATGAACTGGACCTTATTGTTAGACGACTAGGCGATCGCTCAATGGGCGGAGCAACGAACCAATACGTGTCCTTTTTCTTATCGCCACTTGCCTACTCGCCTAATCGATACTCGCCTACTCGTCTAATCGCCTAATCGCACGTACGATCGCCAAACTATGAATGCTCCATAAGCGAGATAAATATCAAAATGTTCACATGAAAAGTGATTACAGTGAAACCACGAAATGAAACCTTTAATAGTCTGGCAGTTAATTTCAAGCTGCGAAGTCGGGAGAAGCCAAATGCTTAAGGTTTGACCTCTTTCGGCTCCACTGCCGAAATATTTCAGGTGTATAGAATGAGGTTATCAATAAAAGAATACAGTAAGAAATCTTAAGTTCAACGAAAATGTCATTTCTTTTGTTTTTTTCCTGAACTTTTTCCTGAGTTGTTCGGCTTTGTTATGCAAGCACTTGAGTCGAAAGACCCTGACAGAAGGTGGCGGCGGCTCGGGTTGTGGCTTCTCATAATCGAAGCCTTCGTAATAACTTC